GAGAAAAATTTCTATGGGATAAGCTGAGTGATTTGTAGGATATGTTGCTAAGTGAAAAAAACAAAGAACTTTTAGAGATTACCTTGAAAGGAAGAAGGAAGAAGAAATAATTTAAATATCAATATGCATACATAATATATTATGAACCTGCTTTTTTACTCCACAAAAATAAACAAAGGAAGGGTAATAAGAAACTAATAAAATGGGTGGAATGGGAATGAAGGGCTGGGGGAGGGGGATGACACTTCTCTGAGTTTACTTTCCTGTACAGTTTGGGTTTCTGGAACCTTGTTAATGTGATATATAAAGATGAGAGGAGATCCCTAAACTGAATGAAAAACAAAAACAAATCCATTAGCATTTTAAATAAGCAACATATCCACATAGGAGGAGGGAAGAAAACAAATCCAAGTAACTTCTGAACAGAGTTAGTCTGTAAACACAAGAACTAGGAAGTGACCTTGTATTTCAGTACAGACACTAAACAAGAAAACCAATCAGCTTACTCCACATGACGGGAAGTGTGACTGGGGAATGAAACAGGTGACGGGAAGAGGAGACAGTGGGCGGGCAGGCACATGTGACAGAGGGACCGCTGAGGACTACTGGTCAGGAAGCACGTCTCGGGGGAGATGAGACACAAACTGAAACCCGAAAGGCGATGAGCCAGCCACGTAAGAATCTAGAGAAACCGCATGCCTGATCGAAGAAGCCTGGCCCATGCAAGGGACAGAAAGAAGGTTCATGAGACCAGAGTGCACAAAATAAGGAAGACGATGGTGACGAAGGAGAGGGAAAAATCAAGAGCCAGAATGTACTGGGCCTTGTGGCCTTGGCAATGATGTTGGATTTTTTTCTCACTGGAGAGTTTAAATAGATTTACCTTTCAAAAAGAAGGTATGGATGCGGTCTGGAGACTGGAGTCTACAGGGGCAAGAGTAGAAGAGACTCCGTCGGACATTCAAACTGTGGCAGTGGCAGTGGAGGCAGAAGGAACCGGCCAAATTGGGAATCAGGTCTAAAACCGGAATCAGTGTGTGCCGATGGGCTGGCTGTGTAGGGCAAGGAAACGAAGCGGGGAGTCGAGCGTGCCCAGCTGAGTGGGTGCTCACTGCTGTGGACTGAGATGAAGTCTCAGGGTCAAGGGGTGCAGGGAAAGGAACACAAGTCCAGGGTGACTTGACTTTGGCACACTAATCCTGGGGGAGGCTGAAGGCCACCCCGAGGTATCCTGAGATCAGACATTTTCTACAGCTGTTTGCCCTGTGCCCCGAAGCACCAAGCTGATCTAATTTTTGCTTTCATGTCTCTGGCTCCCTCCTTCCCTCTGAGGACCCATTTCTAAGTGGTGCTTCTGCCCTCTTCTCTCCTTAGAAGCCTTTAATCTCCATGTCTGTGGCCCCTAACTGCAAAGCCCTCATTTCAAAATCTTCTACTTCCCTGGACCTTCACGACTCTTGTTCATGCCCTTGCCTCCTGCTCCTCCCTCTCCCAACCAGGCCCAGGCTGGGACACATGTAAGCATTTGGGTTGCCAAAAGGATACAGGATGTGTGCCAGTTTCCTTCCAGCTCCTTGTTAGTGAGACCGATTCTAGGAAGGTGTACCATCTTTGGCATTGCACACACTGACTCGACTCTACCCTCCAAGAAGCCAAGTTTCCTCATATTCTTACCTGGAAATTGGATTGGATAGAGAAGTAGCCCTAAAGTTTTAGTAGGTTACAGTTCAAAAGTCATAAATTAGTGCCAGGAATGTAGGTTCTCAAAAATTATAAGGGTTTCTAACACACCCTCTGCAGCAGTCCACAGCACTGACATATTTGAACTGAGGTTCAGAGCAAAGAAAATCAGGCCCAGAGAAATAGGCTAGAAATCGTTCCTCATTACAATCCAAAGTTTTCTTCTTGCCCAGGTGACTGGCACAGGGAGTGACAGAAACCTTGGACTCAATCCCATTTCTCTGTCACCAAGAGGCATGGGCCTTCCCTGGGGCCCTGCTGGAAAAACCACAGGAGAACACAGGACCAGCATGAGAGGAAAAAAGCAAAACCATCCCATTAGGCCAGCTGCTATTATTAAACATTTCTGATCCTGAATTTGAAGAAGTCGAGTACTGCTCAGGGCTACAAAGCGAGTAAGGAGCAGAGCTCCGCGGGAGGCCCGCCCCACACCCACACCGCAGCAGTGCCTCGTCCTAGTGGGACCGCCATTCGGGAAACACAGTTACTTCCAAAGATTTCGTTTGCGAAAGATATGTAAGAGCGAATTTCCCCATCCCATAACAGCAGTTCTTGATAAAAGTAAAAAAATAAATTCTTGATCAAAAAAATATACCATCACAAAATGTAACAAAAAAATTAAAGCCAAAGGACATTTCTGGCTGCCAACCCATTATCAGTATTGTTAATAAAAAAATTTCACTATAAACATAAGTTGGAAAATTGACTTTGATTCACTAAGCCTAAGACAGTTTGAAAAACCACTTAACTGAAAAGAAATTTCCCAGATAATACGTATTCTTCTCCATTACACTCATTGCCACGTGACAATTTTTTTTAATCCTCACCCGATGACATTTTTCCATTTATTTTCAGACAGAGTCAGAGGGAGAGAAAGAGAGAGAAAAATATCGATGTGAGAGACACATCGATTGGTTGCCTCCCACACAACCAGGACCAGGGACCATACCAAAACTGAGGTACATGCCCTTGACCAGAATCGAACCGAGACTCTTTGGTCCGAGGGCCAACACTCTAACTGCTGAGCCAAACCAGCAGGGCCTGTGTGACAATTTTTACTGCTATTAACTATCTCCTTCCACTAGAATGCAATTCCTATAAAAGCATGCATTTTGTCTACTTGGTTCACACCCCTATCCCCAGCACCTACAATATTCACTGACCACAGTGGACATTGATAAAGATCTTTCCACTGTTGAATGAATACACGTGAAGTAAGGTTTTCTTACAGCAGAGTATTCATCCTAAGTCGGCTTCTTCACTGAATCTTCTTACACACAGAATACAGCATAAAAACAGAGCTCAATGGAGGAAATTAAGCTTGGGAAAGGAAGATTCTAGACTGATCTTGACTGATGTTGGAAAACACAATCAAACACCAGCACACAAAGTGAAACAGCACCAAAGGTCTCTTGCATTGAATTAAACTCAGGCGCTCCTCTAACAGGTTCTTTCTTTTCCTCTCCCTTCCTCTCTCCCTGTCTGCCTTCTACTTTATTTTCAAAGTAATTTCCAGCCCTGGCCGGTTTGGCTCAGCGGTTAGAGTGTCGACCTGCGGTCTAGAGAGACCCGGGTTTGGTTCCCTCTAAGGGCACGTGCCTCTGTCGCAGTTTGTCCCCGGCCCTGGTTGGTCGTGTGGGTGGCAGCCACTCGATGTGTCCCTTTCACGTCGATGTTTCTCTCTCTCTCTTCCTCTCTCTCCCTCCCATTCTACCTGAACAAAAAATGGAAAAGTGTCCTCGGGTAAGGATAAAAAAAATAATAAATAAAAATAAAAGTAATTTCCAAAAACCTGGTTATTTGATTTTCCAAGCTCAAAGTAGATCAGCGGTTCGAACCAGGAGGCTCCCTAGTTGAAAGAGACAGTCTGGCGGTCCATATGCTAACAACCAGGAAAAAGAAAAGAAAACAGACACCAAAAAAGCACAGGAATGTGGTATCATGCAGTTTCAAATTGAATATATTCATACGCAAATACATCTAAATTTCCCAAGAAAGTTTTGCTATTTCAAAACGCAATAAATGATTTTCATACTGATAACACTTATAATCAAAGCTCAGACTATGTTCTGCTTGAAGGCAATAAGGAATTATGTCAATCTTTACTATTTCCATAAAATTACGAATAAAAGAGGTTGATCATTTAAGGAACAAGCAACTGGCTGGACAACTACTAAGTGATGTGGTCCACCCAGTCCCCATTGGCGACAGCAGCTACCTTTTTTTGCTTTTGTTTTGAGCGCCCATTAAGCACCAGGCCCCACACTAAGCGCTTTATATAAGGTTCTCTCCTAATCCTCTTAGCCCTATAAGAAAAATATGTCTTCCCATTTTCTAGAGCAGAAAACTGAGATTACAGAGGATAAAGACAGAGTAGTACAGCTGGGCTTCAAACGCAGGCTTGTGCCTACAAACTGCTTTTTCAACAGCAAGCTACGTCCACAACACCCAGGGAACGGAGCACGGTAAGAACCAGACGCTGGGGAAGCTGTGGCATATGGATAACAGAATTCAGCGTGACTCCCCCAAATTGCATTTGCCATTCATTTTCTTTCCTGAGCTTTCAAAAGACTCAGTACTTACTTGTGATCACCAAGAAATCCACTCTGTACTATATTATAATAAATACACTATTTCACTACTAACCCTCAAATATATTTTTTTACCTTTTATTCAATGAGAGATACAGAGCCATTCCATAACAAAGCAAGAAAAGTGGGACATTCAGATGAGGATGGGTGAAGCTAAAACAAATTAGTGAGAAAATAAAAATACCAAAATGTAGATTTCTCGCCCTGGCTGGTTTGGCTCAGCAGTTAGGGCATTGGCCTGCGGTCCAGAGAGACCCGGGTTCGGTTCCCGCTAAGGGCACGTACCTCAGTTGCAGTTTGTCCCCGGCCCTGGTTGGGGTTGTGCAGGAGGCAACCACTCAATGTGTCCCTTTCATGTCGATGTCTCTCTCTCTCTCTTTCTCTTCCTCCCACTCTATCTGAACAAAAAAAAGAAAAAATGTCCTCCAGTGAGTATTAAAAAAAAAAGATTTCGCAACTGGAAGTTCAAATTTTGACAGTATTGTCTGGCCAGGGTCACCACTTTTCTTTTTCAGTTCCACAGGAGAAGTAAACTGTTCCAAGTCCTTCTCTGGTGAGACGCAGCAGAGTGTTCCACACTGGAGGTGTATGGTCTTCTTCTATGACTTAAGAAATTATACTACTGGAATCTTTTATTTTATCTTTGGCTCATATGAAGTTCCAACTTACCATATCTGTGCTAAAACAGGCTGAGGTAACCCGGATTGAAAAAAAAAGTTTCTAGCTTGATCACCTGTAAATTAAGTGGGAAAAGTTTCAGAATAAAACAACAGCTGAACAACAATAGACATATTCTTACAATAAAATTTCAAAAATAAGAGAGGCCAGTGATCCTGCAAATACTGAATTGAATACACGATAAAAGCCAATGGCAAGTCCCTGAGCAGCACTGCAACGCAGCCATCAGTACTGACCAGAGAACGTAACACTTTACAACTCACGGCCAACGGCCGACCATGGGCGACCGGTACACTGGGTCCCTGAACTAACCTGCTATTGACTAAGGTGGTAACGGCCAGGCACAGGACAAAGCATGTGACGAGATCCTCAAGAAAGTGAAAATGAGGACCATACCTCTACATCTTAAAAAAGGTTGTTGCCATTCCCAATATCTACACTTCAAATTTTTTGTACTTCTAATATATTTATAGAAAATAAGTAACAATGATTTTTAAAAATCACACCAGCGATTAAGAATGAATAAAAAGAACTATGAGACAAAAGAACACACAAAAACCAGTCCCTGGGAAATCTAGATCTCATTCTTCCATAAACCAACTCCTAAAGAGTAACCAAACAGGACAGATGACAGAAAAGGCAAAGTTCAAAAGGAACTTTAGGGGCACAGGAATAAGAGAATGCTCCTTTTTTAAATGCTCAGAATCTGTTCATTTATGTATGTTTCGCAAACCAGGTCAAGATTAGAATTAAGCAAGTGTTTAGCCCAAGGACCATAGCCCAGTGCTACCCTCCTCCAAGAAGGTGGCCCCCTTTGATCTTAACCAATTCCCATCAACAATCTGCGAGGAACAAGGACTTGACATCCATTAAGACTGCAAACAAGGCTTGAATGTATTATTGGAAAAGCAATTGTAAAAATACAGGCTCTGGGATAAAGCAAGTGGGTAAATGTCCCCTCAGTCACATGTAAGCCCACTTTAGCTTGCATAATATTCTCCAAAGATACATGCACTACTAAGGAGTAAAAATGTAAAATAATGACTCCAATTACCAGTAATGAATCCAGATATTGGCTTTAAACTATGGAACTGTTGATCATGCTTCGCTCTTTCCTCTACAGTTATGGCCCAGATATCCAGGCTGCCTACAATCCAAAGAAAAGACAAACGAATTATTGAATGAGAAAAAAGCAACAAGGCACTCATGTAACTATTTCCGTAGAACTTTAAGAGTCTGTCAATATGTTATGAATGATGTGATAAACAAACACCTATTTGTCCTTGAAAGTTGTGCACACAAAGTTAAAAAATTAAGAGAAAAGCAGCCCCACCTGCCCCAAAAGGAAACTGGCACAAATTCTTTTTATAAAAACTCTCCTGCCTGGCCGGTGTGGCTCAGTGAATAGAGCGTCGTCCCACGGACTGAGAGGGACGGTCAGGGCTCATGCCCAGGTTGCGGGCTCGATCCCCAGTGGGGGCATGTGGGAGGCAGCCAATGAATGTTTCTCTCTCACATCGAAGTTTATACCTCTCTCCCCCTTCCCCTCTCTCTAAAAAACATATTTAAAAAAAACTCTACCGTATTTCTATAGCTAGCAGGACCATATGAAGATATAGTAAGTTAATCATTGTTTATTCACATGAACTTAAGCACAGTCTAATTTAAAACCGCCTTTTCAGACATCTTAAATGCCACAAGCGAAAGTTACGAAAGAAGTTGAGCTTCAGTTAGTATCCTATGTAATTTCATGAAAATCACCTGGGGGTGATAAAAATTCTCAAATGTTGAATTTATTAATGGTTGCACAATTCTCTAAATTTACAAAAAAAAAAAACCACTGAAGTTGTACAGTAAAAACCAGTGAATTTTATAGCAAGTAAATTATAGCTCACTACGGCTGTTTTGAAAAACCTCAGCCAAGCAGAGAGGGATTTGGGTTCTGTCAGGTCGCCTCAGGCCGAGCGGGAGCCCTTCACCAAAGAGATCTTGCTCACTTCAGTCCTGGTCTCCACAAACGAATCCACCACAACTATCTTAGATGACAGAGGCAGAAGGGTTTCAAAACCTTGGACACCTCCCAAAAGGTGGGAACAGACAATGTATGTATGTTTCATACAAAATGTGAAGCGGCCAGCACAAAGGCCAATGTCCAACACTGCAGCTGACCTCTCTGTGGAGCTAAGACAGCGACAGGCAGGGCGCGACTCATGCGGTCACTGGAAACGCCTTTGGTGAACATATCCATGTTCACTGTTCCACACCAGGGACAACGTGTGGACAGACACAGACCTGCTCCCTTCGCTCACAGGCCTTCCTTCCCTCACAAGATAACACCACGGCCCGGACCTGTCTGGCTCAGTAGTTAGAGTGTCATTCCTCAGACTGAAGGGTCTCAGGTGCGCTTCCTGGTCAAGGGCACTACCTGGGTTGTAGGTTCAATCCCTGCTTGGGTTGGAGTCACGCAGGAGACAACCAATTGATGTGTCTCTCTCAAATCAATGTCTCTCTCTCTTTCTCTCTCTCTCTCTCCTTCCCTCCATCCCTTCTACTCTATCTAAAACTCAATGGAAAAATATCCTCTGGTGAGGATTAAGAAAAACAGTAAAAAGAACATCACCGATGGTTTTGAAAACCTTCCAGACTTCTGTACTAGAGTCTCACAGGGACCCCAGCGATGGAGCTTTGAGCCTCCATAGTCTCGTGACAACAGCATCAGACTGTGAGTAACCCATTCATGTGACACTCTTCTGAAAAGAAAACACTTAGCCAGTAAGCAAAAACAATTACTTAACACTTTCCTCATAATGCTAGAAAAAATTAACCAAAAAAACCCCACACATTTTATGCAGATTGATATATTTTAAGCAGATAAGCTAAAGCAAAACAAAGAAAAATGTCACACTTCAAAGCCAGACTTCAGAAAAAGTATAGGATAAATGACCCAGTCACTTCAACAAATAAATTGCAAAGAAAAAACAGGGATGGAAGGGAGCTTACTCATGACAAGACTCAGGAAACAAGCGAACTAACTGCAATGTGTGCACTTGTTTGGATCTCGATTTGAACCAGCCGTCACCAAAATGGCTAAATCAGGGAAACGCTACCACTGATACTAAGGAATTACTATAAATTCTTTAGACATGATAACGGCATTGTAATTACACCTTTAAAAGTGTTATCTTTCACCCTGGCCGGTTTGGCTCAACGGTTAGAGCGTTGGCCCACGGTCCAGAGAGACCAGGGTTCAGTTCCCACTAAGGGCACGCACCTCAGTTTCCGTTTGTCCCTGGCCCTGGTTGGGTTGTGCAAGAGGCAGCCACTCATGTCCCTTTCATATCGATGTTTCTCTCTCTCTCCCTCCCACTCTATCTGAACAAAAATAGAAAAATGTCCTCAGGTGGGGATAAAAAAAGATTTAAAAAAATAAAATAAAATAAAAGTGTTACCTTTCGCCCTGGCCAGTTTGGCTCAGCGGTTAGAGCGTTGGCCTGCGGTCCGGAGAGACCCGGGTTCGGTTCCCGCTAAGGGCACGTGCTTCGGTTGCAGTTTGTCCCCGGCCCTGGTTGGTCGTGCGGGTGGCAGCCACTCGATGTGTCCCTTCACGTCGATGTTTCTCTCTCTCTCTCCTTCCTCTCTCTCCCTCCCACTCTATCTGTACAAAAAATGGAAAATGTCCTTGGGTGAGGATAAAAAATAAAATAAAATAAAAAGTGTTACCTTTCAAAAATGTGTACTAAAACAATTGTGAATGCAATGATTGATGCCTGAGAGTTGCTTTAGAAGAATCCAAATGAAACCATGTTGGCCAGGGTTGATAGTCACTGAAGCTCTGTGCTGGGTATATATAAGATGGGTTAATTATATTCTTCCCCCTACTTATGTGTATATTTGAAATTTGCTACGATACTAAGTTATTAATATATGGTTCCAAAGTACATGTGAAAAGGAAAATCTTTGAACACTTACCACCAAAAGGTGCTGGAAACTGAGCCATGGTTCTGTTACTTTTACCTTGCTAATCGACGCCTGTAATTGAAATAAAACATTTAAGTTTATGCAAACTTCTCTCCTATATACTTATAAACACACTAACACGCTGTGTCTTTAATGATCAGAAGGCTGATACCAGAGCTAGGGTATAGCACTATAAATGAAAGTTACAATTAAGGAGCTCATTCATTCATTCTCCACACGGTTTCTGAGAGCCAATGGGCGCTGGGAAATGTTGAGAAAAGACACTGTGGCCACAAGAAGCTTTCAGTCTGGTGAGTGGCACCATTACCCAGCACTGCCTATTACATCACCAGTACTGCATTTACTACTACTTTTAAATTTCATCACCACCTTCATACACTAGTCCATCTGTTTGGTGGCTGTAACGGCAGCTCTCTTTAAGGAGCACTGAGAACATGCTGCCACCGTAGCAGGGATTGGGAGGTCTTAGCGCTTTTCACGGTCATCACAGCCCTGTACGGTAGGTACTGTAGTTACCATCCCCACTTTACCAATGAGGAGGACGAGAATCATAGAGGTGACGCGATTAGAGAAACACGCCACACATCTGGTGACCAAGATGGATTTGAGCAGGGGCAGCAAACTCCACGGCCTGCGTTCCACCCGTGAAAACACTGTCTGTCCAAATGCAGCCCGTGAACAATGCATGTCACTCTAATGTCTGCCCAGAACACTGAACACAAACCCAGGTAGACTTCCCACCAGGCATTCGTCATCCATGTACAGCCGACATGGAACCAGCCCGTCCTTGTCCTAATCTAACAACCCACACTTGGCAAGTATCCTTCCTTACACTCAACACAGTAAACACTCCTCAATTTCATCTTCCAATCTATCCATGGAATTAGTTCCCAACTATGATATTTTGCAATTTCCAAAAGCTCTTTCTTGTTCTCTACTCTTTGTTCCTAATACCCCCCCCCTCACTTTTTTAACAGACAGAATGTCTTTTACTCTTCAGATCCCCCATTTTGCTCTTTACTTCCCCTCTGCTGCCGGATCACCAGCTCCCTCTGTCTGTTCGCTGGGTTCTAGGTCTCAGTTCTGAGGCCTTCCTCTTGCATCTGGCGATCCCTGGGCGCTTCTTCGTACTTAACATGAGGCACCAAACAAGTGCTCAGAAGCTGAGCGTGGCAGCACATGTGACCGGCAGGCTGCTCCACACAGTGCCCAGGGATGGCCTGTCACCTGTTCAATTGAGACTCCAAATATCAGGATGCAGAGGGTTTGTCACGGAAGCCGGTCAGCTTTGCCAGAGAGAAAGAACTGGAGAGCAGGGTGAAGAGGGAACAGCCACGCAGCTGCCGGCTTCTGGGAGGGGTGAAGGGGAAGAAGGTGACAGATACAGTGATACCTCGGTTCTCGAACATAATTCGTTCCAGGAGGACGGTCGAGAACCGAATTGTTCGAGAACCGAAGCAATGAAACCCAATAGGAAAGCGTGACTCCACAAAGTGTGACTCTCTCTCTGCACTCACACTGATGACGCAAGCAAGGCGCGCTGGGCCGAATGAACGCCATTCGGCTCAACTCGGCTCATCTCGGAAGTTCGAGTTCCAAATATTTGTTCGGATTCCGAGACAAAAGTTTCTCGAATCCCGATTTGGTCGAAAACCGAGGCGTTCAAGAACCGAGGTATCACTGTACTACCAAAAAGCATACGGTATAAAGACCCGAAAAAAGATCAATGCACAATCCTTCAGTTTTAAAAGGTTAAAAATGGAATCTCAATAATATATAAAAAGGATAACAAGGCACTAACGAGTAGTGTTTATCCCAGAAGTGCAAGTTGAACACATGAAAATCAATTAATGTAATTTACCACATTAACAGAGCAAAGCAGAAAACCCATCTGATCGGTTCAATAAATGTGGAAAAAAGCTTTTGACAAAAACTCTGCACCCAGTAGTAATAAAAACTCTCAGAAAACTAGGACTCGTAGGACTCTTCCTCAAACAGAAACCTCCTCAAACACGAAATTCTCCAATGCTGAGATAATTGGGGGGGGCGGAGTTTATTTCCTTTCAAGCCTACGCATTGGTGTATTTAATATGTCCTAGTCTTCTCATTTATGGTCAGATTACCAATTACATTTGAGCTCACTTGAAAACAAGCTTTTATGCCACTCCGAGTCCCTCCCTCTCTCCCAAGCCCTAGCATCCACTCAGGGACAGTTTCATTCCCGCGGACAGCACAACGCTATACGGATCCAACATATGAGGAACAGGCTGTGTCCTCATTAAAGCATCTGAAGATTGTCTCAAAAGAGCTGATTTCTAAGTCCTTATCTTATTCAAATGACATCTATTTTTTAGTTTCATAGGCATTTAATAGTGTACCAATTGGTACAAAAAGATTTTTTATTATGCTGAAAAGATGAATAAATTTGTTTCACACAGTCTGAGAGCAACAAATCTTACTGTAAATCACAAAGCAATATTACATACATTCCTTTACTGATTTTTTAAAAATGCGTTGATATCTTCAGCTAACCCGTACAATCTGGAAACTTTCTTCCAATCACCACCTCAGCACATTCGTAGGAAACCAATGCTTGCCTTCAGGTCAGTGTTTGAATCAACTTCTAAGTGGAAGGTTTTGTGTTTGTTTCTGTCATCTTCAAAGTGAGCTTTAAGGGTGCCGAAGGGTGGACAGGACAAGAAAGCAGCTACGTCCATATACAGTGGAAAGACAGAAAGGCCAGTGCAGTCCCACTGATTTTATCAATTCAGCTTGCCTTCCCTCCATCCCACTTGGAAAACAAAAAAACTTTTCCACTCATTTTGTATATGTTGCTTCTCTACCAGGAGATACTTCTTTGTATCATCTAGATAAATTAACAGATTGCACTTATGTGCAGCTGGACAGAAAGACCAACCATTTTAAGCACCCTATGCTTCAATTCAACAATTTTAATTTCAGTTGCTTAAGGATTATCAAGCCACCACTGTCAACAAAACACAATGGTCTTTACTTTTATAACTACTTTTTCTTTAAATAAAAAAATTTTACATTATTCAATGAGTAGTATTACCTGGACTCAAATGACATCTTAAAGCTCTACTTCCCAGAACCAGAGATAATGGTCTACAGCGTGCCAAAATTACAGTTGGCTTCAGTGCTACTGGCATTACCCTTGCTATGAAGGGGTTTACAATGAACTCATAGAACTCAACAGCAAAAAAACAAGTAACATAATTGGCCCAGCCAGTGTGGCTCAGTGGATTGAGCATCATCCCATGGACTGAGAGGTCCCAGTTTGAATCCTGGTCAAGGCACATGCCTGTGTTGTGGGCTCGATCCCCAATAGGGGGCGTGCAGGAGGTAGCCAATCAATGTTTCTATCTCTCCCTTCCTCTCTCTCTAAAAAAATCAATAAAAACATATTTTTTATAAAATGAGCTGAGGTCTGGCCGGTGTGGCTCAGTGGTTGAGTGTCGACCCACGCACCAAGAGGCCACCGGTTAGATTCCTGGTCAGGGCACATGGCCAGGTTTTGGTCCAAATCCCCAATGGGGGCATGCAGAAGGCAGCCAATCGATGTTTTCTCTCATCTATGTTTCTATCTCTTCTTCTCCCTCCTCTCTGTCTAAAATCAATAAAGAAGAGAAAAATAATGAGCTGAGGACCTGAAAAGATTTTATTTCAAATAAAATATGTAAGTGGTCAACAGGCACATGAAAAAAGGTTGGACGTCACTAATGCAAACCCACAGTGAAATATCGCCTCACTCCTGTTAGGATAGCTATTATCAAAAAGACAAGAGATAACAAAAATGCAAGAATGTGGAAAAAGGAAACCCTTGTGCACTTGATGGGAATGTAAACTGGTACAACCACAATGGAAAACAGTATGAAGGTTCCTCAAAAAATGAAAACAGACAGCATGTTTCCTAGGGCTGTGGCTGGCTGTGGCATGGGAGGTCCAACTGCATGCACGAGCGACCTGCAGACTCTGGCAGCCCAGGTCAGCACAGCTGCAGCCGCAGGCGCCTTGCCTCTAATATGTATTATATAATATGGTCCTATAACATAGAATAAGCATATTTCCTATAATACAGACATAATTTACATATATAAAAGAAAACAGAACTACCATACTATCCAGCAATGTCACTTCTGAGTACACATCCAAAGGAAGCAAACCACTGTCTCGAAGAGATGCATACCCTCCCATGCCCACTGCAGCATTATTCACAAGAGCCAAGATATGGAAACAACCTAAGTGTCTGTCAACAGATAAAGAAAATGTGGTATCATACACACTGCAGTATTATCCAGCCATTAAAAAAGGAGGAAATCCTGCCATTTTCAACATGGATGAAACTGGAGGACATTTTGCTAAGTGAAATAAGCCAGACACAGAAAGACAAACACTATATAATTTCACTTAATATATGGGATCTAAAAAAGTCGAATTTGTAGAACCAGCAAGTAAAACGGCACTTGCCGGGAGCTGGAGGGTGGAGGGAATGAGATGTTGATCAAATGACACAAACTCCCGCCCTGGCCAGTTTGGCTCAGCGGTTAGAGCGTCGGCCTGTGGTCCGGAGAGACCCGGGTTTGGTTCCCGCTAAGGGCACGTACTTCGGTTGCAGTTTGTCCCCGGCCCTGGTTGGTCGTGCGGGTGGCAGCCACTCGATGTGTCCCTTCACGTCGATGTTTCTCACTCTCTCTCCCTCCCACTCTATCTAAACAAAAATTAAAAAAAAAAAAAAAATGACACAAACTCCCAGTTAGAAGATGAGTTCTGGGAATGTAATCTGCAGCATGGAACGACAGTTAATACAGTCGTGTACACCTGGCATTTTCTAAGAGAAGAGGTCTTAAGTGGTCTCACCACACAGACATACATACATAAAATAGTGACCATGTGCGGTGTGGATGTGTGAACTAGATCGATTGTGGTCATCATTTCCAAATGTATACATATATTAAATCATCACGTTGTACACCCTAAATATATAGTTTTATTTTTTTTTTAAGTTTTTTTTTTTGTTTGTTTTTTTTTCA